CATATGTAGCATGTAGACATTTAGGGTTCTGGGCGGAGATGAGGGGTGAACGGGCGCCGCCTGCTCTCTGGGCAAGAGGTGGGTCTGTGCCGGTCACCACCTCATCCCCCCATTTTAAACGCACTGTATAACAACATGCATCAACACCATATTCGAGTGGGAGGAGGAGGAAGTGGGTCTGTTCATAATTTATTTATGCATATATAGATTTATTTATTTATTTATTTTTATTTTTTCCCCTTTCACAAACACCTCCTTTCTCCGTGTGACACTAGGGGTCAGGGATGGAGGGGGGGGGGCGCATTGTTGGGGTCTGGGCTGTGGGTGGGCTTTGGGCCTTGGGGGTGGTCAGTGTTGGGGCCGGTGCTTCGGTTCCTCCTGGGCTGTTCCGATTCTTTTAATCTAGGTTCCTGGTTGCGATGGCCGGCACTTTGACCGGGGTGGCTGCCGGCTTTCGGCGGGCGGTCGGCTATGGTAGTGAACATGTGGTCATTGGTGGTGTAGGGCGGCGGTTGGGGGCGTGGCTTCACCTCATCCGGGCACTGGCTGATCTTCCTGTGTGGCATTTGCAGTGGGGGTGCTGTGTGTGTGGGGGGGTGCATGGGTGGCGTGCTGGGGCGTCTCCGGGCCTATGGTGCGGAGCTCTTGATGTGAGAGCCGGCCCTCCTCAGCTGCGGCTCCCTGCTGCTCTGCCCCTTGGGCTGGGGCCGGCCTGTGGTCGCTGTCAGGTAGATGGTGCATGCGGTCGGCCCGACAGAGATTCTGTCAGGCTATCTGTGTGTGCCTGTTGGTTGCTCAGGTTGGGTTTTTGGTGGTCCCCCCTCTCTTGGATCAATTTGGGCCCCACGTTTGGTTTGGGGCCCACTCCCCCCGGTCGTGCCCCCCTTTGGCGGGGGACCCCCTTGCCGCCGGTGCATTGGTGGCTCTCGGTGTCTGGGCTGGGTGGTGGGGTGCACGTCGGTCCGCCCTGGTTGCTGCCTGGCGGGGCCTGGGTGCCCTGGCTCTGTCGGGGCTCTGCTGGGGGGTGGTATGGCCTCGGGGCTTGGGGCTCGGTGTCCATGGCCGGATCTACTTGGGGGGGGGCATGGGTCGCTGGCCGGGCCTGTGGGCTCATCGCTGCAGCTTCCTGGAGGCTCTGCATTGTGGTGGCTGGGGTCACCCGGTTCTTTCCTCTGCTCCTCTCTGGGGGGGTGCGGTTCTCCCTGTTGGGAGACTCTTGGGGCTCCGGGCCTGTGGGCCGCTGTGTGTCTGTGGCTCCGGTCCTCCCTATGTTGCCATTGTGTCCTGGGGGGGCGGGTCTGTGGGCCCCCGCATCCACTATTGGGCATTCTTTTGGAGAAATCTGGTGGTGGTGGGCGTGCTTGCGCAGGTGTTTGGATTCGGGTGCTTTGACAGATGCACGCTAGGTTGGGTAGTGGTGGAAGCTAGATGATTCCTTGTGCCATGTCGAATGTTTCATGGTGATATTGTGGGTGGCATTGTGCTGTGCATGTTGTTTTGTCATGGTGGTCTCTCATCTTATCTTCTTCTCTTTTATTATTTATTCATTCTTCTTTCTTCTCTTTCTTTAAAAAAAAATAAATAAAAAATAAAAAAAATTGAGCGATGATGATAAGTTCATTGAAACACTTCACAATGTTTCTACACTTAAACTGAGCTCACAAAAAAAAAAAAAAAAATGTAAAAACTAGAAAGCTGAATTTTCTCAAATGATCAGGTTAGCCAGTTTGGAGGTGGCCATCTTGGATTTTGACCTGGCAACCCTACATTTGATCATGACCTCTCACACCTTGATGCAGCCACACCAAAACAGGAGTCGGCACATTCCTTTTTGTTACGTTATTAAAAGACACAAGCAAGGATGGATTTTACAATTCCCCTCTTCGCTCTGCGATGGTGGACATTGGCTGCACATCTACAGATATATTATTTGAATCAACCTAATCCAAGACCAAGTCCACGTCTAATAAACCTTAGCCAACATGTAGACCTGACTAAATTTAACAGATGTGATCAAATGTAGAGCGGTAGAAGGTGACCCATACTCCAAGCACGACCAGGTGAAATGGTATTTTCACAGTTTGACCAAAACAGCTCCATGTGTTCTCATCACAGAAGGATCTTGATCTTAGTGTAAACTTTGGAGAATGATGTGCATTCCTCATCACTTCACTGTTCTCTCCATCCACAGCAACCTAAATTAAGTTGTTGCCTCCTTATTAACACAACCTCCTGAAATGAAAACGTTTTCAAAGTAAATGCTCAGAAAACACTCCATCGTCTCACAGATTTAAACAATAAAGTGCTGGACCTGAGTAACAAACGGCTCATTCTTTATTGTGAAACGGATCAAAAGGCAGAACGGGAGCTCAGTGAAAAGTCAACACAGACTTCCTGTGACATCTAGTGTACACAAAAGATGCATTCACTGAACTTTATGGTTCTCATTAATCCTGCTCGACTTGAACACACCACCGTTTACAGCTTCCATAACTGCAGTGTTCAGTTCTCTGCCAACGCTCTGTGAGGACACAACGGTCCTGAAAAACATCAAAAACACCAAAGTTACAGTAATTCATAAGTATTTTATTACACAAAGAAAACTTCTATCACAAAGTTATCACTTAACATTTAGCAATAAATATGAACAGTAAATGGATGGAGTATGTCAGTTACTATCAAAAGAAAATACTTGACAATGAACCTGAATAAGAAGGTCACAAACACACACAGAGAGAAAGAAAAAACGAGTAACAGATGATAATGAGCAAGCCCTCCATAACTGTTTCATACTAGG